ATCGTAATCATGTTCAATGATCGATCATAGCGAATTCAAACTGTTTTGAAAAACATGTAATTTATCGACGCTCTTGCGTTTTCAAGGTGATTTATTTTAACGGTTCGCGTTTTATGTAAACTTTACTAAGAAGCGCGTGCGGCTGAGAATTGTCGCGCGTATTTCGAACGCACCGCTGCGGTTTTGAAATTAGACATTTTTTTGGAACGAAGTTCCTTACGGCAGGCTTGGAGGAGATAGGAATTTTGCTGCGCGACCGAACTGAAAAAAATGTGATAGTAAAAACCGTAAGAAAAAGTCCCTGCAATAAGGCCTTGTTTTCCGCACAGCGATATTTCAGTGCGCGATTTTTGCTGCGCGACCGAACTGAAAAAAATGTGATAGTAAAAACCGTAAGAAAAAGTCCGTGGAATAAGGCCTTGTTTTTCGCACAACGATATTTCACCGCGCGATTTTTTTCTCGTAATTCTTTTTTTTAATTTTTTATATGGAACTTCGTTCCTATCCGGTGTCCCACGACACCACACATCTTTTTTAATTATTGATACGTCTGTAATCTAAAATTTCTGTGTTTATCTGACCTAAAATGATTATACTGCTTAAATCGTAGGACAGATAGCAAGATCATTTTACAATAGAAGTAAAAAACACAGCATAAAATGTACCTAAAACATAAATGTTTTTCTAAGTTCTTAGAAATCGGCGGTACTTCGATCATTAGACAAATATTAGTCATAAATAATAGTCCTAAAACCATAAATGCTGATGGCACATGTAGGTACTACCTGATAACATGTTTCATAAAAAAAAAAGGTTTGTTTTTTAAATGAAATTAATTCTCAAATATGAATAAAAAGGTTTTATTTAATTAAACTGGATCGACATAATTGAAATTATCGTCGTAATCTATATATTAATACGTGAAGCAAAAACTTTGTATCTCTTTTTACGAAAATTGCGCGAACGGAGGAGTATGAAATTTTCCACACTTATAGAGAATATAGAGAAGAAGTGCACAATGCTAATATTTTTTTTAAATAATGCATAAAATATATATTATATCAATAAAGAAAACATTACACACACTACATACCGCGTATTTGACGCACACACGCATGCATACTATTTGTTGTCAAACTTTTGTTCTTGACGTCTGTTGTCAAATTGAGAATAGATTAAATATTGTTTGTCTTTGTTAATATTTTTTATAGTGTAGTCTTGGCGAAATTTGTGATTATAGAATTATAAAATACAATCATAATAGTGTACAAACTTACAATTCCAATTAATTATAGTCGAATTTCGACTACTGCGGGACATCTAGTTAACATAAATTTGTCAATAATAAATATTCCGCCAATGACGAGTGTCTTCTATTTATAATTAATTTTGTTAATTTTCCTTAATTCGTGATCACGCTATAAAATTTTTGGCTTTTACTAATGACGTACCGGCGATATTTGTCACTGTTATTCACTGTCACAATAAACATACTACATCCAAATAATAACAAGCAATTTTTGTTTTGTATAGGTATTTTCGTTGACGTAAGCGTCATTTTAATTCGTAATTCATTCAATGACAGATGAAAACATAAATTCGTTTTTTTTTAAATTTATGACTGTATTGTTATTGTAAAACCAATAGAAATATAATTAAGACGGAAAAAAGGCCGGTACTGTGTCATTTAAAAAAAAAAAAGGGTGCGTGNCTTCCTTATCGGCGTTGGAAAAAAATTTACCGTCACATTTTTCGGTTACGCGTCACATTTTTCCGTTACGCGCCATCTTTTTCTTGCCCCTACCACGGTTGGTTCAGACGAAGAGTACTTTCACTTTCTCCAACGGAGTAGGGATAGCATTAATGTTTCACTTCTTACGTGTGTACACTAGTACACGCACACATTTTTTGAAATTGTCGTTGTAATGAACATAAATTTGTCAATAATAAATATTCCGCCAATGACGAGTGTCTTCTATTTATAATTGTTTTGTTAATTTTCCTTAATCCGTGATCACGCTATATAATTTTCTGGCTTTTACTAATGACGTACCGGTGATATTTGTCATTGTTATTCACTATCACAATAAACATACTATATCCAAATAATAACAAGCAATTTTTGTTTTGTATAGGTATTTTCGGTGACATAAGCGTAATTTTAATTCGTTATTCATTCAATGACAGATGAAAACATAAATTCCTTTTTATTTAAATTTATGACTGTACTGTTATTATAAAACCAATAGAAATATAATTAAGACGGAAAAAAGGCCGGTACTCTGTCATTTAAAAAAAAAAAGGGTGCGTGTACGCGCGTAAGAAGTTATACTTTATTTTTATTAAATTTATTTCTTTTTTTATTTTATTGTAATCAATTTTGAAAAAAAATTGATTAAACAGTATCCTCAAACACGCATATTAGACATCCCTTTTCTTGACATCGTATAAATTCGGTAATTCTCGGTACGGTTCGGAAAGTTCACCTGCGGCTATATTCAGACTCGCCAAGTTACGTCGGTCATAATAATATTGTAATGATCGATTTAGTGGGCCACTTCATTTCTGTTAATTTTGTGTCACAGTGCGGGCGCATCGTAAAATTTCACTCTCATCAATTTTTCATAACGCGCCTAAAGAAGTATAACTTCAAAAATCTTTTCTAAATCAGAGAATCATAAAAAAAAATATACTTTAGACAAATCAAATTAATAAAAGTGTAACGCCCTGTAGGTTTGCGGGTATGCAGACGGCCTGTCGCTAAGGGTCGTTTTAAGGTGTAATATAATACGTTTTTTTGACAACCCTACGCGAACAAAACGATTTCTGAATGAACGTGGGCATTGAATGAAATTCCTCAGGCTCGCTAAGCGCCTCTTGGTTCGAAAAAAAAAAACTACTATCGATTTAAAAGGACTTCCTTTTGCCGTTAAAATTTCAAGTCTTACATTAAACAATTTGAAATTGTTCGATTTATGTTTTTTTTTTTTTTGTCTCGGTAGCAGTACGAAAATTTGAAAGACTAAGGAAACCGTTTATCAACGTTACTCTTTGTTATCTGCGGTGTTTAAATAATTTCGGAATGTATGTTCAATTTGAATAAAACAAAAAATACAAATAAATTAGGTTATCAAACTAGAATAATAAAACTTGTATATTAATTCAAGACTCCGTTAACCTAATACTTAAATTAATGTTTATTCTTGTTGCATTAATCTTTTAGTAGATAAGAGTGAGTGGGCACAACCTTACATCATATTTTACCATCGTGAAATAATTACACGTCTCACGTAGGCTTGTGTCGACTAATTAAATTTAATTTATGATTAACTTTTCAAATAACGTACCCACGTGATTTTTAATGGTAATATAATTTAGTTATAAAATCAATATTCATTACGGAAACAAAATGACTGGATTTGATCTTATGGATCGTTTAGAGTTTAAGGTCATCTCTATGAACACATTTTGATTCTATTTGTGGTTTGTATCTATTCTATGTATGGTATATTGGTAGTGCTCTGTGGAATTTCCCGTGCTGAACCTGCCATCTTCTATTTACTAATGCACATAGTTTATCAGAACTACGTTAAGGCACTTCATCCATCTTTAAACGAGGTTTGAGGAAAGGACACATCAGTTTGGCTATGCGGCTCACATTGCTGATGCCCATAAGCTACAATATTTTCTAAGCTAAAACGAACAGTAATATTTCATTAATAAAAACAGTCCGGTCATGCCGAGTGATATTTCACTAAAGCTTCATTCATGTTATTTACAACTTTTAAATTTCGAATTCGAAGATTCGTTGCGCTCTCATTGTCATCAGCCGCCATTCGTTTCCAACAATGCGCATTGAACTGCAGTACGCTCGTGTAAATTGCAAAGAAAAATAACACAAGGGACCGTGTAAATAGTCGAAAAGGTAATTGAAAGCGCCCACACAGCGCCTACGTTTCGCGGAAGGGGACGCATCGTTGATGCCGAGAGCCTGTATTGTGGAAACAACACGGCGGAAATGTTTTGTTTCGGCTCGGTCCATCTGCTCTGGCGCCTGGGACGCGACGCGAGCTTGGCGCCACCGGCCTATAGGTGAGAAAATCTCTCCGCCTTCGCGCTCTCACAGATTAAGCCTCGAACATTTCGACTGTAACGCCCGCGACCTATTTGTGTCTGAGAAGCTCTTGGTTTTTTTTTTTACTGAAATTTCGTTGGTACCAATCAAAAATTTCCAAACGTCATTCAATAGGACCGTATTCATAAATTGCGTGCATGTATTATTATTACTGGATTTATACTTGGTCGGTATATTTTTTGCGCTAACAACCCAATTGATTGTAATTAATCATTAATAAATAAAAAAATGTTGCGGCTCAAGAATGTCAATTGTACTATTGTTTCTTTCAGATTAACAAAGTGAAGACTTTGAAGGGTTTGATAATAATTCATTAAATAATTTCAAACCGCATACGGTTTCGTGTCGCCTAAAACAAATCATTACGGATCCTCCCGATCTATTAACGGTGCTTTTAGGTACCTCAAGCACCGGTCACAGTTCCCGTCGAACCCTTCGCTTGCGACGAAGCGTTCGGCGAGTAAACTAACCCATAGACATAGCCCACTGATTTTCTAACTGGATCTTCTCAGTGGATCGCATTTCAGATGTTTTTTAATTTTTTTATTGCCTTTGTCGGCAGACGAGCATACGGCTCACCTGATGGAAAGTGCAGGCAGTGGGGGAAAGTGGGGCAGAGCCAAGCCGCTGCTTACCGTTAAGTACTCTCCGCAAGCCTCGCCTGATAGATTCTGCGAAGCACTGCTCTTGCTAGGGCCAGTGTTAGCAACACTCCGATTTGAGCCTCGAGAGCTCACCTACACGCTAGGGTAAAGCTGAAATAGCCTCTGAAGGCTATCAGCATAAGTAGGAAAAAAATACGTTTCGTGAATAAGGTCTGAACGGTAACGGTTCTATGGGCAGGCGCGGTGCGTGAGTCATCTCTCGTTCATTGAGCGGTGGTCCATTGAGTCGCGCTCGCGCTCATTACCGCTCCGGGGGCCGGCACAGCGCGCACGCACCGCGCGCCGATCCGCACTCACCGCACCGACGCACTGCCCACCACATGTCGCCCCTCGTCTCGCGATACAATGTGAGTTTAGCCTACGACATCCGCTCCTATCGGCCCTCTGCCTACGACTTCGATCGTTCGACAAAGCCTTATTTGAAACGAGAACTTATTTAATTTTAAATTTCTTAAACTGATTGTCACATATCGTTGTTGTAGATGGAGAACTTTTCAAAGTCGCACATTTGGCTGACCGCAGCGGCGCTTTTGACGGCCTTCGGAATCTGTGCAGGCGCCGGCGTCGGTGGCAGGAAACCGTTTACGCCGACCGATTCTATACTCGACATCATCGACACCAAGCAAGTGGAGAGGTTTCTCGAGCAACGAAGACGAGCCGAGCAGGCCACTGCTCCCTCTACTACATACGTGCAAAGAAACGAACTTGGCGACGGAAGTTCGGAGAGTGGTTCGATTGTTTCCGTACCCGACCAGGAGGACGCCACCGAAATACCTCCGGGAATCGAATTTCGGAAAATTTTAAAATCGTCAAAAAATGCGCTCATCGTTACGAAAAAGGAGTACCTCAAGGAAGATTGGTGCAAAACGGAACCTCTGGTGCAAAAGATCAGAGAGCCGGGATGCATTCCGACTACTGTCATCAACAAGTTCTGTTACGGGCAGTGTAATTCATTCTATATACCAAAAGGTCCGCGGCGCCGCGACAACAGCGATCGCCCGCAACCGGCATTCAAATCCTGCTCATTCTGCAGGCCGAAGAACTTCACATGGATCACGGTGACGCTGCGGTGTCCCGGACAGAATCCACCGTTCAGACGGAAGCGTTTACAGAAAATAAAACAGTGCAAGTGTATTTCTGTGGGTGTCAATTGACCGGGGTTCCAATGATGGACCCTTGTCTACCAGAGGCGGTGCGACCGTCGAGGCTCCATTGGAGCACCATCACGCGACAGGAGCAGTACCAATCAACAGGAGCCAGCAACGTGAAGATTAGCAGCTAGTTCCCGATGTTCTGNACCGTTCAGACGGAAGCGTTTACAGAAAATAAAACAGTGCAAGTGTATTTCTGTGGGTGTCAATTGACCGGGGTTCCAATGATGGACCCTTGTCTACCAGAGGCGGTGCGACCGTCGAGGCTCCATTGGAGCACCATCACGCGACAGGAGCAGTACCAATCAACAGGAGCCAGCAACGTGAAGATTAGCAGCTAGTTCCTGATGTTCTGTTCCGACAAGTTAAACACATTCTGATAAAGGCTCGCATACGTCAATGCGATGACGCAATGCGATGCATATACTAAAACGTCTCTTTTATAAGTTGTATCGGCTGCAAGTGGTCGAGCAAAAGCTTTAATTGTTCGTAGCGAAACTATTTAGTGAATTGTAAATATCGGTGGCCTTCGTTCATATGAACGTCCGTTCGGATTGCAAGTGTGCGAATTCTGTTTATTTATTAAATCGATAAAGTGTGATATTAGTTCGTAATACACGTAAGCGTTAGATGTGTTTGGACATTATGAGTTCACGGACGTTAAGCGACGAACGTATTTATATTTATTTAAATGTGTTTATAATAAGTGCAGATTAGTATTTATAAATTATTACGCTTATAACTTTGGTAACAGGTACGTATTTTTGTGTATAAACCTTTTTTATTTTGTAGTTTTAAAATTTATTCATTCATTTCGTTCATGAGAAGAATAATTTATCAATCAAACAGAAAACAATATTTTTGCTAGTTCTATAGTTTTTAGCTTTTTAAAGTGTTTCCTAGTACCATTTACCCACTTTGATATTTTGTTTGCCATAGTCAAAATTTCATATCATTCACTCGTAACCGTAATCGATACTTCAATTATTTAATTAATCGTTAATATAATTAGTGATTTATTGGATGAGATAAAGCACGTATAATTTTAACGATATATAGAAAGAAGTATTTTGTGTACTTAATATGTGTGATCGACAAATATACTATGATGTTAGTGTATTTTACTCTTTATCAAGTTAAAATGTTTATTTGCGCGCTCTGAACAACAATTGTCTACTCATAGTATTTTGGTACGTTTTCTTAAATAATATAAATAATTATAAAACCATTTAATCTCATGCTTTTTCTATGAATTTTTATATATTTTCTTCGAGTCACACGGGATTAAAGAGCACAAGCTCCTTTTCAAATATACTAATAGACTGTTAAAATCTTCTTTTAATAGAAATAGTAGATTAGAATGACAAAAGTATGTTAATTACTGTAATAATTTGTGTGGATTCCAAGCGACTCCGTAAGCCTAGAAGAATTGATTGCATCAAGAATTGATGAAAAAATCTAAATAAATCTCATGTTTATTAGCTCTATGTCATAGTTGTCTAAATACATTGTAAATCTTATGTAATTGAGTTAGATCTACAAGCAGATCCGGGTAAAATTTCCAGCCCATTTCTGCCGCCAATCAGACATGTACCTACTAATTGTTTGGGCAGGAGAAACATAGCGTCAATGCAATTGAAACTTCAATAATGTTAAGATGGGTAGCGACGTTAAATTTGTTTCTTTCTGGGTCATCTCTCAATCCATCTTGCGGAATAAACGATACATTGTTTTAATGCATACATGTATTTATAAGAGCAAAATGTATTTGGTTCACAGAAACTTCATATTACGTATTCATATATTATACATTATTCGATTTTTTTTAAGTATCAACGCTTTATGTAAAGTTCCCCATAAAAGTCTTTATGTTAACTTCAGGTTTTTTTTTTGCAAATCTGTGTTGTTTTTAAATACACATTTGAATTTATAAATTATATCTCATTATTTAAAATAAATTAGGTAACAATATCTCGGGTATCTTATTGTTATTTAATTAATCCTAAATCTTAATCAACAGTCTAGTGAAATGTCGTAAAAATTTTACTGTTACATTATTGAAATAAATTAGAATATTGAATTCATTAATAATCTTTACTTTATATCTTTAGTAAGCTTATCTAGATTCTTTGACATCTACGCAAATGACAGTATTATTATGTAAACAAAGTATATGAGTGTGTGTGAGAATGTTTAATAAATAATAATTATAGATTTAAAACTAAAATGGATTTGTTTTTATTGTTTTCATATTATTATTATATTTAAGCTGGCATAAATTTAACAAACAATTAATGGTGTGCGATTTTGACACCACAGCTTCTTATTTATGGCATAAGTTTAAAACATCACATGCCACAGAATTCATTCCTGCTATCTTTTGGTCTTAGCTACAGCGCGATTCTAGATAAAATTTCTGAAGTATCTAGATATGATTTATAGATTACTAGCTGACCTGGCAGACTTTGTAGTGCCTCAATCGATAAATAAAAGACCTAAACTTTTGTTTAAGGTAAACTTAAAACAAACAAAAGGAATCCGTCCGACGGGGGGGACACATCAAAGGAAAAACAAAATTATTATTTTTATTTAATTCCTAGTGTTTTTATTTTTATCTACCTTTTAAACCTTCTCTGGACTTCCGCAAATAATTCAAGACCAAAATCAGCCAAATCGGTCCAGCCATTCTCGAGTTTTAGCGAGACTAACGAACAGCAATTCATTTTTATATATAGAGATTCTAGATATAATTTCCAGATTCAACTCTACAACTCCACTTGTCGGTCTTTTTTGTGCATTATGACAGCTACTTCTCTAGACGAAGGGCGATGAGTCCTTAGCGGTAGACATCGGCTTTCCCTGGAATTGCTGTTGTCCAGGCGCAGCCTCACAACTCCTTCACTGGTGGTAGGACCCTCTTGTGAGTCCGCGCGGGTAGGTACCACCCTGCCTATTTTTGCCGTGAAGCAGTAATGCGTTTCGGTTTGAAGGGTGGGGCAGCCGTTGTAACTATACTTTTGAGACCTCAACTTATATTTCAAGGTGTGTTGCGTATTTCCGTTGTAGATGTCTATTGGCTCCAGTAACCACTAAACATCAGGTTGGCTGTGAGTTCGTCTACCCATCTAAGCAATAAATAAAAAGAAAACTCCAGAGGGGCCACATGATCGTCTGCTTTATTAGGTAATAAAAACATTAACTCCACAAAATTTCAGGTTTTTTTCCCTACCTATTACGAACCTCGAGGGGTTATGCTAACTTCTCCAACGTATAGGCAACCTCACTGGGCTCAGACTGGAAGACGTTGCTAACAACTGCCCTAACAAGAGCAATGCTTCGCTGAATCTACCACGGATCGGCATTGCGTCCCACTGAGAAAATTCGGCGAGAAACTCTATGAGCTGTGTCTGTGGGTAAAGTTGCACGACGAACCCTTCGCCGCATTGGACGGGTTTGCCGGGAACGGTGTCCGGTGCTTGGAATGTCTAAAAGCACCGATACGAGAAGATTCTATATTACATGTTTAGGGCGACAGCGACTTTTTGGTTGTCTGGATCGGGTATGTAATTTGCGGCGGCCACGATAAGGGGTTTCAGTTTCAACATTGACAATGCAGTCAAACTTAAGTGGAGATGACTTTAATGCCGGCTATGGAATTTACGTTGATTTAGGTATGAGACGCTCTACCACCTGTAATACCCGTCAAGGGATTATAATAATATAAGACTTTGATTGGACTTTGAATATTCCTATTTATAGATAACACATTTTTATTATTGCTTGGACATGAAGAACATAAATGCTGCTACTCACCTTAAGATATGAATTCGATGTCTTACTTCTATGGTACAATGGCTGCCTCACTCTTCAAACCGGAACGCGTTAATACTTCGCGACAGAAATAGACAGGGTGGTGGTACCAACACCACTGGCCGGTTCGCTCAGAGTAAAAAAGTCATTCCTAAACAAGTTCATAAAAGGTCATAAATTCAAGGATATAAATATATAAATAGCAGAGTTTATTTTTGTTTTACCCTTGATGACCATACTACGTGTCTATTGTGACTGACCAAGTGACCGAATGACCTAGTAGAAACAATAATCGGATCTGATATAACTGTAATGATTCATTATGCTTCTCATCCAGTAATACGATCGACAAAGACTTATTTTGTCTCTTCAATCGATAAGAGTATATAAGCGTTCTATTTGTCACGAATGAGTCGTGAACAAAATTGATCAGAAAATATGAGGACTTTTTTATATATATATTTCTATCAATTAAATTTTGCACCCATGGTATCGATGCATCTTTGCTCGCACAGTGGTAATTTTCCAATTGCAGAAGGCGACCTCCTCGCGGTGAAGGCAACGGGGCGTCCTGAGGGGGCAAGATCTTTCGGCGTGCTGCCGGCGCGTTGTTTTTTTTTTCGTACTTATTCTAGTAACCTCAAGGGGTAACGTTACACTAGATTCTCCAGGTGAGTAGGTGAGCTCACGGGGCTCAAACCTGACGACGTTGCTAACACTAACCCTAGCAAGAGCAGTGCTTCGCAGAATCTACCACCGGATCGGAACCGCGACCCACTGAGAAGATCCGGTGAGAAACTCAGTGGGCTGTGTCTGTGGGTTAATTTGCTCGCCGAGCCCTTCGTCGCAAGCGACGGCTTCGACGAGAACGATGACCGGCGCTTAAGGTACCTAAAAGCACCGTTAGTGGATCGGGAGGATCCGAAATGTCGTTTTTAGGGCAACGTCGACTGGTTACCATTCGGTCCACAGGATCGGAAATGTAGCTGCCCGCGGCCACGATGAGAGGGTTCTCGTGTCGTGGTGCTGCATGGCCACTTTTCACGGAAATGTTGTGGTATTCCGGAACACTAGCGGCACCACCTGGGGCGGCCTGTCAGGCTGCCGTACCAACGTAACGTACCGTGACGGCCGTTGACTATCGCCTCGACGACTCGTCGATCAGGCGTCCTTGGGGTGACGGTGACGTTGGCGTTTTGGTTGTAGTGTTGACCACGGGAGCTCCCCTACTCTGCCTGGGTTTTGACCTCGGGCGGAGATCGGACGTCGGGTGAGTTTTTTTTTAATTTTATTTTTATTGCTTATATGGGTGGACGAACTCACAGCCCA